TCCCCAAGTCACCTGTTCCCGGGGCAGGATGTTGCCTCCCTCGGAAACTACCCTAGCCTCGGCCCAATAGAGATTGAAATTTGCCCTGCGAGCGGCGCGCCCCAGCGGTGAAAGGGTCACCATAGAAAAGGACTGCTCTGGGCTGGAGAGCTCTGGGTAGGAGCGCTTGCTGCGCTTCCAGAAGACCCGAAGTCCGTTCCCAGCACGCACATAGGATGATTCCTAACACCTGTCAAAGCCAGCTCCCCGGAGAGCACCTGCGCTCTCTCTCTCTCTCTCTCTCTCTCTCTCTCTCTCTCTCTCTCCTCTCTTAATTAAAAATGATAAAATAGATATTTAAAAATTAAGATGATTCTTCAACAGACATTCACATTTACATCCTATGCTGTAGGAACCAGCTGTGCTCCCAGGGGAGGGAGCTTCCGTAAACGTGGTGGTGGGGGGTGGGGACTGAGGATACTGTGACATCTATCCGGGGGAGCCCAGGGCTGGGCTGAATATCGACACCCCACCAAAGGTGTCTCCCGCTGGCATTGTCCCTAGTGCTTAGATCCATCCACTTGTCCTGAACAACCGTGAAGACAGACATTAAGGCCCACCTATGTTGCCCTGCCTTGGTGTTTGCTGCGCACTCTCGACCCCAGACTGCCATTAATAAGCCTAAGAGAACGAAAGAGTCACAGGCCACAGCCTTTAGCCTCATCGGGAGTGGAACCTTCAGTTTAATTATGTGGGTTCCGATTCTAAGTGCTCCGGGGAAGTTAATGAGAATCTTTGACCAAGGCTTCGTCTCCAGCCCCTGCCCCCAGGGGAAAATGGACCAGCTGAGTCTCCCAGAGACAGGCGGAGCTCCTGCAGCGGACATTTTCAGAAGTCCCGTTTCTCTATTTGTTTTCTGTATCTCCAAGAGACCGTTAGGGAAATGAGTCACACTTAGCCCAGGAACGCGCCCCGGCGAGACTCCCTCCTGCACTCACGGCAAGTCCCTGTCCCCAGGGGCTGTCAGGGGCTGAGACCGAGAGGCGAGGTGGTAAACCCCTTTCACCCACCTGGCCAGCATTGTTCTGGGGATGGACACGGACTTCCGGGACTGTCCCCATCACTCTGCCTCTCATCAGATCCATGGCCCTTTTCCTGTGTTAGAACTGTGACATCATGCATCCTCAGCCACAGTGTTTCAGACACACAGAGAGCCAACCCTGCTTTGCTTGAGTTTTATGAGTTTGGGTTTTTTTTCTGTTTTGTTTTGTGCCGGGCCCTGCTTGAGGAGGTGAGGGATGGAGGGACATATTGGTTTAGCGTGTGTGCTGCGTAGCTGAAACTCTCTCCTTTGATGTTTAAGACCAGTTGTAAATCCTTGAAGTTCGTCCTTTTATATTAGCATGTTAACAAGCTTTGGAGGGCTGACAGGGCTGACAGGAAAGCCCAGCTGGATTGCTCCTGAGCCCCCCCCCCACTTTAATTCAAAGCAGAAGCGGTACTGGTGTTTACGAATGCGGCAGGAAGGGGCTGCTTGGTGATGAAGCTATTGGGCTTGGTGCTTTCTCCAGACAGAGCCCCAGTTGGAATCAATTAAGAAAGGAAGTTGCCATCCTCCGATGGCTTGCTCGCTCTCTGAAAGAAACCTTTGCCCCAGATGAAGTTCAACAATGAAATGCAAGAAGAAAAAGAGAAGGCACCCCCACCCCAAAATCTGCTCAACGTGAATTTAGGTCTTTGGCAGCAAGGGTGACCAAAGGAATAAGATCGTGATTTCCAAGCCCAGGAGTCATGTGGCATACCGTCTCTGCTGGGGTAAAAAGAGGGCACAGAATGCAAGCCCAAAGCTCTCTCCTGGAAACTGAGGAGGTCCTGCCGTCCAGGAATCCATCTTGAGCCCTAGGTTGAGCAGCCTCTGGTGAGGGAGTGTGGGGTGGCATTTTCTCTTCTGATGAAAAGGTGCGGGAAGGGGCCTCTCAGCTGAGCAACTCTGTGCCTGGCCTGCACTGAACAGGAGGCTTTGAAGGGGACACATGGACCCACTCCCTGTGTGTCTCAGGCATATGACAGGCCTGAGGGATGCCATTTGTAGGGATGGATGATGGAGATGAGTTTGCGGTGCAGAAGGTAAGAGTCCAACTTAAGTTCGGCACAGCGTACAGTGTGGGTTCCCAAAGACTCACCCAACCCTGTTTGAACAGCAGTACTCAGCTCGGCTGGACAAAGCTGTCCCCTCATGGGGCACCTGGCGTAGGGATGGTCCCATGACCTCCCAGCAAAGCCTGCTGCTCACTTTGCTTCATCTTCTCATTCACAAAATCCCCTTTGCACTCCCACATGTCGAAGGGTGCTTCAGGCAGCCCGGTGGCTTTTTATTTTGAAAAGGTTTCAAGGAAATAAGGCCCTTTCCTGCGGGACAGCCTCTTCCAGACACGAGGCTGAGGCTCAGACTTATGGTGTTGCCAAAATCCCACGTGTACCTGGTTAGGGGACCAAAACATCCTACCAGAAATGTAAACAACGACAGTGGAGAGTCGAGCTCATTGGAACCATCTTGTGGAATCAGAAAACATTTCTTGTCATGTGTGTCTGAGGGGGACCCATTGCCAGAGGTTCCTTCTACAATGACCTTTGGTCTAGACTGCTCTCTAGGACCTTTCTTCTAGCCTGGGGGCACATCTTCCACTCTGGGTCTCTGTATAAAAAGATGGTGACATAATTGTCTTGAGGGTGAGAACTCAATGTGTACAGGTCACCAAGTGGGTAGCCAGTAAGTGTCAGCCATTAAAGCAAGCTTCAATGGTATGTGAACAATGATAGAGTCCGGTATACTATTCCAAAGTAGACTTCCTAGAAAGAATGCCACCTCAGTGTTCCCCAAAACCTGGCAAGGATTCCCTTTTCTTCCATCATTGATGCTAATCACCAAACCAAGAAAGGTCCACATGCCAGGTGATGGTGGTGCATGCCTTTAATCCCAGCACTCAGGAGGCAGAGGCAGACAGATCTCTGTGAGTTCTAGGACAACCAGGGCTACACAGAGAAGCCCTGTCTCAAAAAAACAGAAAGAAAGAAAAGGAAAGAAAAAGAAAGGTATACCTGTCACAGGACAGGTATTAGCTAATGAATCATTTGAAGGGTTTGAACCTCCTGACTACAGGGACTTCTCCCAGAGTGGGCATGTTTGGGTGTGCTTTACTGAAAATGTGCATTGAGAGACTTCTTTTATTTTATTTGGGGATTTTTGTTGTTTGTTTGTTTGTTTGTTTGTTTGTTGAGACACGGTTTCTCTGGGCAGCCCTGGCTGTCCTGGAGCTCACTATGTAGACCAGGCTGGCCTCAAATTCACAGAGACCCTGCTGCCTCTGCCTCTCGAGGGCTGGGATTAAAGGTGTGCACCACCACCACACAGCTTGAGACTCTTCAAAAAACATTACTGCCGCTAGGTGTGGTGGCATTGTTATTTTATTTATTTATTTTTGAGACAGTCGCTATACAGCCCTGGCTGTCCTGGGACTCACTCTGTAGAGCAGTCTGTCCTCGGAGTCACAGAGATCCCCCTGCCTGTGCCTCCCAAGTGCTAGGATTAAGACATGTACCACTAGTCCTGGCCAAAACTCTTTTACACACAGTGTGTCTGCTACTTCTCTTGTTGCTCTAACAAAATAACCAACAGAACCAACTTAAGGGAAGAAAGATTCATTTGGGCTCACAGCTTCAGAGAACACAGTCTGTCACAGCAAGAAAGATGTAGCAACTGAAATGACCTGTCAGGGCAGGAGCTGGTTGTAGGAGGGTTGACTCCCCCAGTCCCCTAGGGGGCCACTTCCTTCTGGGAAATCACACATTCCCAAAGTTTACCCATCTCCTGAAACAGCAGCACCAGCTGGAGACCAAGTGTTCTAACACATGGGCACAAGGAGACAATTCTTATAAAACTGTAAGACATGGGGGGGGGGAAAGTTAATATTTCCGCAGGAGTGTGCAAAATCCCTCCTAGCAGTTGTTTTTAACACTTTTTAAAAGACTTATTGCTATTTTTGTGTATGAGCCTTGCACCACACGCATGGCTAGTACCTGAAGGGGTCAGAATAGGGCTTCAGATCCCCAGGAACTAGAGTTAAGGCAGTTGTCAGCAGCCTGTGGGCACTGAGAATCGAAGCCAGGTCCTCTGCAAGAGCAGCCACTGTTTATCACTGCTAAGCTTTCCCTTCAGTCTCCCAGCTGTTTTAACACCAAGCACCCCACAAGTGTGGAGTGGGGGGCTACAGGCATCTGTTCAGACTGTCCCTGCTTAAATAGACACACATACAGCACCAACTTTAAAGACTGGGATCTGTGTTTTCACTCAAATATACTTTGAGACATTCTTGCTACGCTGTCTAAGCCTTAGGGTTAAGCCATCCATCCTTTGCATCGGGCTTCAAGGCTGCAGGTATGGACCACTTCAGCTGGCCATCTTGAACAGCCTTGGTGTTTTTCCACAAATTCTACCTCATTTCAATAGAATATTTAGATGTTCTGATTAACAGGAAAAACTGCAAAGAAAGTTCTAAGAGACCCTGTGTACCCCACACTCCTGAGACCCCCATGTACCCCACACTGTATACTTCCCACTCCTGAGACCCCATGTACCCCACATCCAGAGACCCCGTGTAGTGAACACCCAGTTTCTCTCACTATCAATCACTCACTCCAGTACTGTGAGCTTGCTCTCATGGGTATACCGGGAATTAGCTGATGCCTGACCTGACCTGAATGAGAAGCAGCCTCCACAGACCCATTGGTTGGAAACCTGGGCTCCCAGCTGGCGGCACTATTTGAAAGTTGTGGAGCCAGATTCCCTGAGGAAGTGGGTCACTGGGTGTTCTAACTGCACCCCGCGTTCTGTCCACTCATTTCAGATTCAATGTAACTAGCTGTTTCCTGCTCCTGCTGCCATGCCTTGCCCGCCACGGTGATGGGCTGGGTTTCCTGAGACCATGGGGCAAAACAGAACCTCCCTCCTTATGCTGCCTCTGTCAGTCACAGTAGTGACTATGAACAGCCACACTCCTGGAAAAATGGAAGAGGAACACAGGAGTGAGATGGAGCCATGTGCTAGTGTAAGCATATTGGAGTGCTGGTGTGAGCGTGTCAGAGTGTTTAACCTGTGACCATGCTCCTTGCTGGGGATGACGTGGGGTGTGCTCCTTGCTGGGGATGACGTGGAGTGTGCTCCTTCCTGGGGATGACGTGGGGTGTGCTCCTTGCTGGGGATGACGTGGAGTGTGCTCCTTCCTGGGGATGACGTGGGGTGTGCTCCTTGCTGGGGATGACGTGGAGTGTGCTCCTTCCTGGGGATGACGTGGGGTGTGCTCCTTGCTGGGGATGACGTGGAGTGTGCTCCTTCCTGGGGATGACGTGGGGTGTGCTCCTTGCTGGGGATGACGTGGAGTGTGCTCCTTCCTGGGGATGACGTGGGGTGTGCTCCTTGCTGGGGATGACGTGGAGTGTGCTCCTTCCTGGGGATGACGTGGGGTGTGCTCCTTGCTGGGGATGACGTGGAGTGTGCTCCTTCCTGGGGATGACGTGGGGTGTGCTCCTTGCTGGGGATGACGTGGAGTGTGCTCCTTCCTGGGGATGACGTGGGGTGTGCTCCTTGCTGGGGATGACGTGGAGTGTGCTCCTTCCTGGGGATGACGTGGGGTGTGCTCCTTGCTGGGGATGACGTGGAGTGTGCTCCTTCCTGGGGATGACGTGGGGTGTGCTCCTTGCTGGGGATGACGTGGAGTGTGCTCCTTCCTGGGGATGACGTGGGGTGTGCTCCTTGCTGGGGATGACGTGGAGTGTGCTCCTTCCTGGGGATGACGTGGGGTGTGCTCCTTGCTGGGGATGACGTGGAGTGTGCTCCTTCCTGGGGATGACGTGGGGTGTGCTCCTTGCTGGGGATGACGTGGAGTGTGCTCCTTCCTGGGGATGACGTGGGGTGTGCTCCTTGCTGGGGATGACGTGGAGTGTGCTCCTTCCTGGGGATGACGTGGGGTGTGCTCCTTGCTGGGGATGACGTGGAGTGTGCTCCTTCCTGGGGATGACGTGGGGTGTGCTCCTTGCTGGGGATGACGTGGAGTGTGCTCCTTCCTGGGGATGACGTGGGGTGTGCTCCTTGCTGGGGATGACGTGGAGTGTGCTCCTTCCTGGGGATGACGTGGGGTGTGCTCCTTGCTGGGGATGACGTGGAGTGTGCTCCTTCCTGGGGATGACGTGGGGTGTGCTCCTTGCTGGGGATGACGTGTGGTGTGCTCCTTTGGGGATGACGTGGGGTGTGCTCCTTTCTGGGGATGACGTGTGGTGCGCTCCTTTGGGGATGACGTGGGGTGTGCTCCTTTGGGGATGACGTGGGGTGTGCTCCTTGCTGGGGATGACATGGGGTGTGCTCCTTGCTGGGGATGATGTGTGGTGTGCTCCTTTGGGGATGACGTGGGGTGTGCTCCTTCCTGGGGATGATGTGGGTGTGCTTCCTTCCTGGGGATGATGTGGGGTGTGCTCGCTGCTGGGGATGGCGTGGGGGGGGCTCCTTGCGGGGGGGGTGGT